TGCTTCTCAGATTGCTTTTTGGGCAAAACTACATTGTGATGCCCTTTATCAGGGAGGTGTAGCAGAACACAGGCATATTGGAATGGCCATCCAGTCAAGGCCTAGCCATCTATAGGTTTTCTTTTGGGAGAGGCCTATGGCAATGTTTTGGGGAAGCAGTGTAAGCAATAACACAGAGGGATTTGCTTGTCCACAGCTTCTGGCAAGGAGTGACTTAAGCCCTGTGCTGCATCCTGGCCACTGTGGTTTACTAACTCTCTGAACTCACATAGTCCCCTTTGGAACCATTCATCTGTTTGATCTCCAGAATGTGCTAAGCAATGCAATCCATGCTTCAGTAGTGCTTTGTGTAGGGTAAAGATTACTTCCTTTTCTTTAACGTATGCATGCTTTGCATGTATGATGCTTAGCAAAGGGAGCCTTGAGCCATCTGCTAATGTTAAGGTGTTCTAGTACCTAGGATCAGATACAGAATCAATAGGAATGACTCAAAAGTATCTGGAGACAAAACATCCATTTTGTCACTTATATCTTCTCATTTCGTGGTAATACTGGTTAATGTAAGATGTGCTTGGAAGCATGTTGAGGACTTAAAGGTTGTACATGTAAACCTCAGCTTTGGAGAATTTCAGACTTTTGCAGTTGTTTAATCCTGGTTATTTATCGCCTTAAATCTTGGGATCTGTTTGTAGAGGTAGCAAGATAGAAGGTAGGTGATTTTTGCATTTGTAGCCTGTAGAGAGAGGATGTTTTTTTATTTGTTTACATCAAGTGCCTTTACCATTCTTGCCTTCCTCCATTTGATACATAGACTGTGCACAGCCGGGCAGTGAATAGCTGTTGTGTTTGGCAAGATGCGGACGCATTATATTTCAGGAGATCTTTTAATTAAAGACAACAAGTACAAAAAATTGTTTTCTATTTCACAGTTTTGCTTTAATTCTCTGAGGTTCTATGATGAAATGTATAAACAGTGCAATCTCAGCAGACAGGTATTTCGTGCGAAGCTTACTCCAGTTCCTCACGGCATGATAGCTGTCTGAACTATATGCTGATATGGGTGAGGAGCTTCATCTCCTGCACACCTTTGCCGGCTACCACAGCCTGCGGACCAGGCTCCCCAGCTCGTCTGCAGCAGCTGTAGAAGCAGGGCTGCACAGGCTCTCTCATGTGAGCAGTGACTCTGAGGAGCATTAGCCCCTTGAAGCTGAGCATTGCAGTTGAACTGCTATAGAGGTGTTGCCATTACTTGTTAGAATGTACAGTAAGTCTAGGACTGCTTTTTCCAGAGTGGAACAATGTGCTTTGGACAGTATAACACAATCAGCACTGCAGCAGCTGTAGAAGCAGGGCTGCACAGGCTCTCTCATGTGAGCAGTGACTCTGAGGAGCATTAGCCCCTTGAAGCTGAGCATTGCAGTTGAACTGCTATAGAGGTGTTGCCATTACTTGTTAGAATGTACAGTAAGTCTAGGACTGCTTTTTCCAGAGTGGAACAATGTGCTTTGGACAGTATAACACAATCAGCAATGGGGTGACAGCCAAAATCCTTGCTCAGTTTTGAGAGAATGGCTGAGGATTTAGAATGATTTCTTGTTCAGTTCACGTGTTCCTTTGTTTATGATGTTGTGCTGCTATTTCACTTATTCTTAAAGGATTAAGACACTGGACTAGCTCTCAGGAGGGGCTAAGAACAGATCAGAGTCTCATCAGGCCTGTGTAGAAATGGGGTGGTTTTGTTTGTTTGCTTTTTCTACTCTAGCAAGTAGTGCAGCCTAGGAAGAACAGAGCTGTAGAGTCAGACAGATGTCAGTGAGGACCTGATGTCACACTATACAAGTTTCATGAGGGTTTACTTCAGACCAGCATTGGTCCAGCTTTACGGTCTGTGAGCCAGCTGCAAAGGATCATTTGGGTTAGCTTCATCCAAAAGCAATCTAGTTTGCCCACTGTGCCTGCCCAGTGCCATGGCCCGTAGCACAGTAGGTGGGTACTATCAGGAGTTGCATGCTCCTGATTTGAGCTAAAACGCTAATTTAACCACACAAAATGTGGAATTAGGAGAAGGCAAACATGAGTGGGTAGTTGTTGCCGCATGCTGTGACCAAAGGATCGTTTATGGTTCAGTCTACAGTATTCCTAAGAAAAATGAGCACCACAAGCACAGTGCAGCAGTCGTGCATCCTAACCACCTCCTCAGTTCTGCTTCAGTACCTGCTGGTACATACACAATGCAGAACGTCACAATGCAGTCAGTCTCCAAGCAGCTGGCTACAGGCAAACATGATACTGCTTCTATACCTTTAAGAGTACTAGATGGCATGTAGTAAGAATAGAAACCTCATAGCTTGGTATCTGAATGTCCCTTTATCATCAGATACAGCTGTGAGCCCAGTGTAACTTGCAGAAGAGGTACAGGGAGAATGATGCTGTTTAAAAGTTTGGATTACATTTTATTGTGGAAGTAGAAATGCTAGGTAAATTGAGGCAGAACAGCTGTCACAGGCACTGCCACAGCCTGGCCTCCATAACATACATGACTTTGACCAAAGGTCAGATTTGTCTCCTGGTGCTGGCTGTTAAATGAAAATGGTATCTGCTAGCTGGAGGTTGTTAATGAAGGACACAGTATGATCACAGGCTACTGTGATAGTGTGAACACCCTTCAGGTGATTTCCTTGGCTTTGCACATTGGTGTAGGG